TGAAAAAAAAAATATTGATACTTCACTTGGCTATCTGGTTGCAGGATACCACCACTGAAATTTTCCAATTTGTTACACAAAAAAGGAATTAGTTGATCCATTTTTCAGTTTCTACGTTTTTGTAAGCTAGTAACACAAAATAGCATCTTCAATGAAAGAAAGTTCTGTTCACCCTTATTTAAACCTATTTAGAAAGAAGAGCAAATATATATTAAGAACTTCCACTTCTGCCAACATTTTACCTTCAACTGACAAAAACTTGTATTTTACGACCTCAGCAGCATAGTCAGTTCATGGATGAAAAGCAGCTGAGGCAACACATTACGAAAAACCCCAATGATAGCAGATGTAGTACTCATACTTCTAAAATAGCCCTGCCCCAAAGCAGCTGACTCATGGTAACATGCCTGCGTGGTGGTGCCTCCCCTCTGCGGGAAGCAGCTGCTTTACCATGTGCTCAGCAGAACTTCAGGCAGCAGCACAGACTGGGTCAGCGCTTGCACTGCCCTGAGGACGGAGACGGGCTGCTCGCCCCGCCAACGGACATGCCCAGGGAAGTTCAGAGGAGCTGGGTATGTGGCAGAAGTGCTAAGGAACGTGACGGGGTGGGGTCGAGATGGAGGTGCCAGTTTGGGGGCCTGGGAAGTATAACTAGAAGGGGAAAAGCGTGGTAAGAGGCCAGGACAGAAAGCCTTGTGCTGAGAGAGTAAGGAAAGGAAAGAGGTGAGAAATAGGCCATGTTATATTGTCTTTAAAAGAATAACTGAGCAAGGTACTTTTGAATAACTGCTTTAAGTATACAGATAAATATAATTAGTTTACTGGACAGAAGATCACATCCCTTTCATATAATGATTAATCTCTTTTTTTCCTGGCCTTGGGATTCTAACTGGAAAGCTGTTCTCACAACCAGAAAACTTTTAATATACAGCCTAGACTTATTTGCAGACTACTTACATCTTTTTTCCGTAGTGCCAATACTGTCTTTTAGCTTAAGTAGTTCTCTCTTTCTAGTCTTTAGCTGCAGATTAATCTATAGAAAATAATTATTCATTTCTCAGCTTTCATTTTGTGGGCTAAAAAAGCCATGCTTTCAGATTCTTCTTTATACTCTCCATACCATCCTACCAGCTCTTCTTGCTATTATTTCAGAGCGCACGTATGTTTCTTTTATATGGCTGCCCAGCTATGTTGAATTCCTGATTAAACCTCAACAAGGGCCTGTAAATAGTGTTAGAGCTTCCTTATCTTTCCTGGAAACGAACCCTAAGATTTCACAGTTTTTCACAACTGCATTACATTAGTGGCTTATACTACCTGGGATTAATCTGCATGCATCTGCTAGGTCCCATGTCATCTTATTAAGAGAAACTGTTGCTATTGTATGACCCACAGGGCATGACCCTGGATTTTACCCTATTTCTATTCTTTTTTTCTCCCCAGTCACAACAAAATTCATCCTATGTGATACTCTAATCCTCCTCTTTATGAATAGTCACTTCTGATAAAGCATTAACAGTGAATTTCATTATCATTTATTTAAAACTTAAATACCTTAAGAGTAAATTTTGAGAAAATTCATTAATATGCTTGCTCCAATCCTATACCTTCTTTCATTTCTACAGGTTGCTATTTCTCTCCTATCTATTCCAAATTCACTGTTAAGATTAATTAAAATAGTCCAGGTGAAGAATATCTAGTTGACTTCCTCTGCCTAAATAAGTAAACCCAATAGACTGGTACAATCTATTTTGTGAAAACAACATGGCATTTTATTTCACTAACTTTTTAATTATTCTCTAAAAGTTTCAAGGTTTCTTGGAAGCCTCAGTGCTGTTACATGCAGACAGCGTGCACAGACAAGAGGCAGTCAGTTAGCTTCTAGAGCTTATTTACCAGGCTCTCCTCATGTGTTGACACTGCAAAACTTGACAGATCTCTTCACTTTTTCTTTCCTTGCTCTCTCAGGATTTCATTTATGTCATGGCAGGCCAGGACCATTTGAAAATTACAGTGGAAACCTACACTAGTAAATTTTCTTGCCAATTTGTTAGCCTCAATGCCAAATATGTTTTCTTTTCATGGCTAGTTGTCCTGGTTTCGGCTATTGTTCTTCGAAACCTACTTTTTGACATTCTGTATTTTTATACGTAAACTTCAATAAAGTTATTTGAAAGAAGCTTTTGTACAAAATCATCTTTTGCATTCGATTTGAAAATACCAAACAATGTCAAGATTTACAAGGAAACTTCCTCAGATAACACAAATTTAGAGTTTTTAATGGATCTCTAGATTAGCAGTAGATACTATTATTTGCATCTCCTGCCTCTGACAAATCATTTTGAAGTGACTTGCATACCGCTAATGGTATACCTATCACAGTTTGGGATTGAATATACTTATTTTTAGGCTTTGAGAAATATAAAATGAAAGAAAGAAATCCACTTTGATTGCAAAAAAAGGAATGGGAAAGGCAAATGATATGCTGCAAACTAAATATAGACTTGGGATAGATGACAATTATTCATTAAAGTCCCAACTGAAATTATCAGCTATGGTGCCTGATTATAGTGATTTTCCTCCTGTCAGAAGCCTCTCCTAATAATTTTAGTTTGCATTAACTTAAACACAACAGAAATACCTCATGCAGACACATTTTAGCTCTAGAAAAGTGTAGTCAAATGTAAGAATTACATAGAGGCATCATGAAAAAATTATTCGGATAATTTCTAGTTCTGCCTAGAAATTCTCTGTCCTAGAGTAACTGGAGCAAGAAGTATTTTTAGCAGTCTGATCATTATTCCGGCATCTTAACCAATTGACCCGTTCACCTGGTCTGCGATACCTGGTATGATGATCTCAGGGACATCCAGAATGTTGCCAAATGAAGCAGTTTTACGATGGCCTCGTTTAGGCTTGGAATAGGCTGAAAAAATACACATATACAATACACATGCAAAACACTAAAATGGCAATAGCAAAATTATTAAATTCCTAATATTGCATTTTTCATAAACTTGGTTAAAACTATAGTTCATGCAAAAATGTGTCATGCAGAATAAACTGCATTGCCTTCCACTCATGCTTACACATAGTAAAGCAATTGTTAAAAAGCAAAAATAGCAGAACTAGCCGTCATTACAACACCGTGTAATTAGTTATAGTTAGCAACACAAAAGTCAAACACAGAAAGCAGCATGGCAACAAGGAAGGGAAAACCAAATGTAATTATCCAAACAGAGAACAAATTAAATTATTTCAGATCACGTGTATATTCAGAATAAATTCTTGATTGCCTGAACTTAGATAACATTTTCTCTTTAGTGTTGGGTACAAACTACTTTATAACAAGATTAATAGCTGGGTACTTCTGTTTCTTTAAATCACCTCCTTTTAAAGGAAATCTCATCTGTCTCTGAAGAAATGCTTACTCTCATTACATTTGACAATCATTCTGCCTTCCATTACTTTGTCTTATTAGTGAAGATTTTTTGTTTTGCAAACTGGGTATCAGTATCAACTTTTTCATTTTTGAATGATGTTCGAGAAACATTATATACTTTGGAATAAAATCTAATTACACATTTTTTATTTTTATTTTACTGCTTGTGTAGTTTAAGATAGATAGTTCCCATTTAGAGAAAAGTCTGAATACATCTCCCAAAGGTAGAACATTGCAGCATATCCATCTCAAACTTAATAATTAATAGTGATGTGCATTATGCGATTTACACTTAATCTAGCGATAGATGGAACAAGATTAAATAATTCTTGACCTGATTTGCTCTTAACAACAGCCCAATTCTCACGCAGACATACAATTTTTTTCAGGTTCACAGCATATTATTTCTGTCACACAGTTAACAAGATTAAAAAACAAAGCAAAACCAATACAGTGCTGTTTCAGCTCTTTTTGAAAGAGTTACAGTCAGATGGGTTTGACCTCATTTCTAGTAGTCCACTACTGTCTGAAGTGACTTCTTAAAAAAAAAAAACTAGTATGTTCAATATATACTTTTGTTTCAAGAAAAAGAAACCCTACAGTCATAACAACAACAACAAAAAATCTTAGAATATTCTGAAATAATAATTACTATTCAGAGCAATGTACTTAAGGAAGACAAAACCAGGAAAATTAAAAACTCACATAAAGGAGGGCCAGGTTATCTCCACTAATGTAAAAAACTTACATTGACTTTAGAGTGTCAGTGACCAAAGTGAGTCCTGACTTATTTTGAAATAAAACCAGCATGTTATTATTATCAGGTAAGTACACAGCTGCCTTCTGTGTTAGAAAACCTTTAGAGATACTCAGGGTGAGATGTGCTACAGAATCATCCAGTCAAAGACTGACAATACAAAAGACAAATCTTGGAATAAGGCTTTAAAATAAGAACATAAAAGTAAAAAGTGTTTAGGGCAAGATAAATATTATTTCATGAGTAACTTCAGTATTTAGTAAAACAAGATCCTGGAGTAATCGTAATACAATGAAGAACAAAAATGAAATAGTCATGGTGCACAAGAAAGCCAGAATATGATGCATATTTCCTTATTAATTACAGCTACTCGATTACCCTAATTTTCAGATTGGTAGAAAAATACTAGAATAGCTAAACAACCCTGGACTAACCAAAGTAATTTTGTCTGATTATTTAAATCTGTGGTTATATACCACAACAAAAAAAAGTTTCACATGTGAAACTTAAAACCTGAAGTTTGCATAGATTACAAACAATATCTTTGATAAAGAAAAGAGACAAGAAAGTGTTTGCCAAGTATACACATTTTTATTAATTCGCTTTTCTGAGAAGAATAAAGATTGTTTTCACCATAAAATTACGTATTTATACTTACACTGTAAATTCCAATTCATTCAAGGATTCAATGTTTAGACACAACAGTTTAGAGCTATCTGAAGCAAACCTGGCAAAACACCTGTAGCTTTTTTTTTGTTTTGTTTTAAACAAAAGATACCAATGCTTTGTTAATCTGATGAATAAAATCTAACTATGTTTCTCTTTCTGAAATCTGTCAAAGTGGATTCTAAAACCTATTTGGGAACATGCTGAACTTTAAACCCACCTCTTAATTTCAAAATATTATAGGAATAACCTTGAAGGAAATGTTATTTTAGAAATAATTATGCTAGCAGAGATGGAATAACGTTATTTCAGATGTAAAGGAGAAAGTTGTGCATTTGGAATAGGACTGATATTTAGAAGTAATGATTTTTTTAAAAAGGTAAAAGTCTAATTCAACAAAAGTAATCTCTTCCGCAACCTTAAAAGTACCCAATTAAAATACTCAACCTCGTTGAGTGTACAACCGTGAATGAAGCCATTTTCCCCCACATTTAATAAAGGACAATAAAGACTACATGAAAAGTCAGAAGTATTTTCATATGGCTAATGGTATTAACCTTCTGTAAGACTATGCATATTTAACATCTTCCTTCCTCCTTTCCTTCTTTCCAATTCCTTAGTCTATCCCCCAAACATCCTTTAATTTTACCTGTGATGGAAGCTATTCTTGCTTCTATTTCAGACATGTCAGCACTCATCCTTTTGGCTTCTCCTGAAACAAGGGCTGACTGTGGTCGTGCGCGAACATCTGACAAGCTCTCCACACTGCTCCCACGAGATGGGGGTAAACTCAAACGGCCAGGATCACCCTGTTTCAACAGTCACATTTTTAAAAAAAAAAAAAAAAATTGCAGAAGCCCCTCCATGATATGCACATTATGTAGGTTAAAATATATTTCTATAATGTGCATTTTAAAAGTGACAAGATTTAAAATTTGTAATTCAATAAATGGTAATAATTTAGCTATTATTGGCCTACAAGAACCAAATATCTGCAACTTTCAAAAGAATCTAACTTTAAGCAGACAAAAATTGAGTAGAATTAGGCCAGTATTGTCACAAGAGAATCTTCGTATTTTTTCGTCCTACTTGAAATAAAACAGCATTTCCAAAATTCACATAAATGTTTAATCCTTGAATGTCATACTAATATTTTGGTTCTAAATTAAGGCAGCAATTTTCAAATATAATTTTTTTTTAACCTAATGAATCCCTTTAAATAAAATGAACTACCTTTTTATTTCATTGGAGATCTTATCAAAGCCTTCCAGTTTACCTTTTTGGAATCATTCAATATTTTTCCATCCCCTTTCGTGTTCTTTTCCTGTAACTAACTGGCTCCAATTCTGTACTATTTTTGAAAGAAGACACCAGCGTTTCGTAGCAGTTACAACACTTCTGTCCGTCTTTGTCCATTCTGTTATTATGGTTCAAAATTGCATGCGTTGGCTTACCGGCTGCTTGGCTGTATTTTTCATTTGCTGTGCCAATTTTGACTCTAAACGTTTAATAGTGTCATTGGTAGAAGCTCCTTGGAAGTCACTTGGTTCCATGTTAGCATCACTCTTGTTACTTGTGTTTGTAGAAGTGATGTCCATGAATGAACCTAGAAATCAGTAACAGGGAAAAACATTTGAGAATTTTCATTAAAAATACTGAAGTGCATCTCTTCACCTGAGCATTCTCAGAAGCCTAACTTTGCTTCAAAGCAACACTTTTGAAAACTTTTAATGAAAGGCAAGCTGCAAGATCCATTAACGTAAAAAGTAAAAGTAGGGAAAAAGACAGAATACACGGGTAAGTACTGTGATGACATTCTGAAGTTAATCTTTAGCTTGCTCTGAAATTGTTGGGGTAGATGTTACATTAACAACACAACCAGCAACCTCATTCACAATTAATGGCAAAGTCCATCATTAACCACAGAGAAGCACAAACACCTGAAAAATAACAGACAATATATATTCACAGTTTAAAGTGATAAATCGTATCTTAAAATCATGTGCTGAGGGGTGGAGAACAGCTAGTAAAGTCAGTACAATGCTACAGCTGTAAAGATTTTGTAACATACAGGTTACTAAGTTGCAAAGTAGCCAAGGAAACTTTATCCAAAAAGCAGCAATTTGTTTGGAGACAGAAAACAAGTCAACCAAGCAGTGGAAGGTGAAGACATCTGAGGTTAAAAACAACTGAAGTGGGAAAACTGTACTCTAAAAAATGAGAAGACCGAATGATCCTTATTTTCTATTATTAAAGGATTTCTCTGAGGGCAAGACTACCTGAAAGCCTAGCCCACATTTTGTTCTTCCTTGCACTTAATTTAAATTACTGTATTTACTGCATCTTAACATAAAACAACTGCATGTTTAAATTGTGGAGATCGTAACTGAAAGCAGGTGCAGCTTCCAAGAACAGTCAAAAATTTAAAAATGCTAACTCCTAGACATTACATAC